CGCTGCAGTCTTTTGTACAACCTCACACGGTAAATGTGATGCACTGGAACATGCTTCAAGCAGCAGCGGCAACTTGTAGTAGTCGAAGGTTTGGTTGAAGCATATGAATTGAATTTGCTCGAACAGTCTTGATCAAGAGTGTGTGAAGCTTTCTACGAGTTGTAGTGTTTGCATTGTTACAGAGGAGAAATGTCTGAAACAGATGCAAGAGGGTTGAAGAGCTTGATCTTCGTATACCATGCACTAAAGCCGTTGTTGGCTTGCAATAAGACTTTGTTGGTGACTATAACTCTTGTTAGGCATAAGTGCTCCCCTAGTTGAGTTGTAAAGCTTGAGGGTTTTTGATTATTTATGAATGCTAGGAGTTCACATGTACAAGTTGTATCACTCGTCTTCTGGTAGGTGGAATGAATGGTGAGTTGCTTTCATCACTTAGTTGATGGTACGAATGTGAGTTCCTTCATCACCTTTCATCATATTTTATCACCTGGTTGGTGGCAAGAAAATGAGTTCCTTCTTCACATTTCATCACTTGGTTGGTAGCATGAAGGAGAGTATGGGTTGTACATTTCATCACGTGGTTGGTGGCACAAATGTGAGTTCCTTCTTCACCTGGTTGGTGATAAGAGTGGTAAGTTGCCAAATAATATTAGAGTATGGGTTGTACATTTCATCACCTGGTTGGTGGCATGAAGGTAAGTTCCTTCTTCACCTGGTTGGTGATAAAAGTGGCAAGTTGCTAAATAATATTATAGTATGGGTTGTACATTTCATCACCTGGTTGGTGGCACGAAGGTGAGTTCCTTCTTTACCTGGTTGGTGATAAAAGTGGCAAGTTGCCAAATAATATTATAGTATGGGTTGTACATTTCATCACCTAGTTGTTGGCATGAAGGTGAGTTCCTTCTTTACCTGGTTGGTGATAAGAGTGGCAAGGTGTCGAGGCACATTGTAGCAAGTGTCGAATGACACAAAGTATGTTGAACCCTTTCGAATCACAGTTGGCTTATGTTTGAATGTGTTGGAATGTATGATGTTTATGTATGAATGACATGAGTGATGCTTATGAATGTTTTGCTATGCATGAAGGGATCCATGCTTTCAATATGTGAACCATGTTGGTTGTAACACTTAGTATCACATATTTTGTGTCAAAGTATGAATGTTGAAGCTCTGAGTTAGAGTATAGAGGTAGGTCAGCGTAGACCAAGTGTTCCAGTGCTAGGAATGCAAAAGACTCAGAAGAAGTTGTTTGAATTATCTCTTCTTTAAATATTTGCAGAATGGCTTGTGTGACAAAAGATCTCAAGCGGTTGAGGGAAAAAAAATTTGTAATGTGTATGCCTTCTTATAATAGCATTTCCTTCAGTACCTAGTCTTCTACTTTGAAAGAGTGAGGCTTGGCCCCATAGTCATAATAGTTGACGGTATGTTCACCCTTGGTGTCTTGATACGAACTTTTATCCCCCTTGTTGTAATGGGCTTGCTGAGAGTAAAAATTCTTCCTCTTACCAAGAGACAAATACATTTGGTGATTTAGCGAGTAGCTAAATGAGGCAGGAAATGATGCAATGGGTGTCTAAATGGCCAAGATCTCCTCACCTAGTAGAACTTGACTTCCACTTCCCATTTGTTGATAGGGGTTAACCATATGGGGGTTCCCTTGGTATGTCCTTGCTTCGGCAGAGGCGTGGTTGTAAGCCTGTGCCATTACCTTAGAGTAAGTCTTTCAAGTGTTGGCATTGATCGTGTACTTGAAGAAACAATCACATAGGCCTGCTGTGAAGGCTTTGAGAGCGGTCTTGTCATCTACCTCAGCGCAGCGAGAATACTCATGGTTGAAGTGACCGGTATACTCTCGTAGTGATTCGTCCGGCTTCTGGCGAATAGTGTACAAGTCATATGCAGAATGTAAGCAATCGGTCTGGAAGATGTGTTGAGAGACAAACAACTTTCTTAGTTCCTCAAATGAGTCTACTGTCTCGGGTGGAAGACGGCAATACCAGTTTAGAGCTCCGCCAGAGAGGGTGGAAGGGAAGAAAAGACATCGCTCTTTGTCGGTGTGCATCCGATATGCCATGGTGGACTCAAAGAGGTTAAGGTGTTCAATTGGGTCTTCCCTTCTAGTATAGAGTTGTAAACCAAGCTTTTGTTTTGTCTTCGCTTGAAGGGGGGTGTCGAGGATTCTCCTTATGAGAGGGCCAGGCCTGGGTTGGTTCCAATCAGGTATCTCGGCCTGACGTTCGGCCTTTAACTTGTTTACTTCATCAAGGAGCTGTAGGACAAGAGGGTCTTGAGTGGAGTCATGTACCACTGAAACTTTCTTCCGTAAGTCTCCATCGCCTCTTGGAAGTAGGAAAGTTTGAGCAAGAGTGTGTGGTTTTTCCTTGGACTCGCCGTACTAACTTCTAAGGCGAGTCTACCTCCGAGTCCCATGTACTTTCATGTTCCTCTGGGACCTGTCGTTCCTTCCCTAGATTGGCAGCTGGCCTGGGTTGTGGGAGGGGACCGAGTCTTTCAGAAACCCTTGGGTCATTGATCTTCGAGCTTATGTGGAGGGGATTCTCTGACAGAAACCCTTTGGCCCTCTGAACCCTTCGGTTGGAGATGGTAACTTTTATTTTACAAAATTTGTTTCATATTTTTATTAAATTCCATTTTTCCTATAACTTCTATTTCACAAAATTTGTTTCATTTTATTTTAAGTTCTATTTTTTTCCTATAACTTCTATTTCACAAAATTTGTTTCATATTTTTTGAAATTCTATTTTTTCCTATAACTTTTATTTCACAAAATTTGTTTCATATTTTTTTTAATTCTATTTTTTTCCTATAACTTCCTAAGTCATTATACAACATTAAATTAAATTAAGTAACATTAAATAACATTAACCAACATAAAAATTATACAACATAAAAAAAACATTTAACAACATGAAACTTAAACAACATTTAAGTTGTAGTTTTTAAATAATAAATTATGTTTGGCCATTTGGCCCTCGGTTGGAGACGGTATTTTGTGACAGGGCTAAAACGAGCCACTGGCCCTTTGGCCCTCGGTTGGAGACAGAGGCAAATATGGTCATGTACTGTTCATTAAAATATTAATATCTTGGAGGGCCAAAGGGCTAAAACGAGCCATCTGGCCAGCCCTCGGTTGGAGATGGCTTTAATATCTTGGAGGGCCAAAGAGCTAAAATGAGCTCTCTGGCCAGCCCTCAGTTGGAGATGGCCTTATATTGTCAAACTTATCAAGTTTTGGATAATTCATGAATTTAAGATCTTGAGTTTTAGTAGTTAAACAGTAATGTGTGTTTTTTTTAGTGTGCAGTAGTTAGGCAAGACTACAAAAAATAGCTCTCTTTGCTTCTCCAGAAAAGATTAAGCAAGATGGGATTTAAATTTTAACATTTCAACTTCTTAAAATTGGGTAAATGTATTTGATAGTAAATTGAAGATAGATTTTTTACCTTAAATTTTGAATTGAAGATAGATTTGTTACTTTAAATTTTGACTCTCTATCGTGCATTTTTTATTTAGTCTTTGGCAAGTCATCATACATAATAAACAAAATAATTAGATTTTAGTAAATATTGATTTTGTAAAATTCTACATCTAAATTTCTAGGTTCTGACATTGTATTCTTTATTTAGAGTTGGTGACCATCAACTAACCATCAAGTTTAGATCGAGATTCAAAATGTAATATCAACGACTGGTATGTGCTACTTTACAGTTCTCTATTTATATGTTTTTGCAATTTTTTCTTTTGCCGTAGAATAGAGTTTTGTACCATTACAATTCAACTTTTAAATCTACTTTCATTAGTCTTACAAGAATTCATTAATCTTAGAGTTCTTCCGTCTTACTAAATACCAACACACTTATATATATGTGCTCTGATTTGAGTAACACTATCAATTAGATCATAGTTGAATGTGTGCCAAAGCGACCTCATTTCCAAAGCTGATAAGTTAAATGTGAAATCTGACATGCATAATTGATTAAATGAATAATGATCACTTACACTTTGATCAAATTTATCTACAGTGGAGTTCTTGCTGCCAGTCAAATTTTAGAAAGGTAATCAAATGGAATAGCTTTGTTTAAATCAAAATTCAATCTTTTTTTTAAGAAATTGTAATGGAATTGCTTACATTCTTGGTTCCATATTATACAGATAAAATGTGTAGAAGTTTAAATTATACAGATGGAAGTCAATTTTAACAATCACTTAAATTTCTTAATAATTTGATCTTTCTTTCAATTTGTATTCGGCTCTTTTACATTTTTGTATATAAGTACACCTTTCACTACAAAACCACAGAAACTACCTAAATATGTCTTCTAATTTTTTTTTCCATTTAAATAGAAAAAGAAAATCTATCACCTTTTGTAGGAACTGTATCGATCAATTTTTGTATAGGAACCGTACCATTTTCAATCTAAAAAGTGTAAATCTTCTTGGACACAAGCTTTTTACTTTTTTGTCTAGATATTTTGTCTTGCATTTTTATTGGTTTTAAAACTAACTCTGAGCACTTTCAAATAATATAGTTTCATATATAATACTCTTACACACTCCTTTACTAATTTTTGTTAATAATCAATCATTCACAATTTCATAGGTCATGTTATTCGAAGAGTGATTCAAAGAATTTCAAGAGCTTTATTCATCCAATTTATGTTTTTCATGTAAAAATTCTTTCAAAAAGTTCAAACATCTTTCAGTTTAAATACCATTAACGCTTTATAACAAGCTCTTATAACTTTGAATCATTTTTTTTCATACGGTTTCTAATTCCGCAGTAACGTGCGCGGGTTATATTTCTAGTATCCCCTATGCGTTTCCCAGTTCAATCGCTTTCCCCAAAGTCAGAAGTCTCTTTCACCAAAAGTCATCAGCCCTCTTTCTACGTATTTTCAGTTTCACCTAACACGCGCATAGACCTAGTTTTTCTTCCCTCTGCACTCTAGTCTCCATCAGTCCTTTCACCTCCCTTGGTGCCGTGCACATATTTATACCTCCTGTTTTGTATTCCTTTATAACTCATCAGTTTGGAGATACAATTACTAACTTGCAAATTAAATTTCTCGCAGTGATTATTCGATTGAAACCACTTTCTAATGGCATCCGGCAGCAACACAACTTGTCAATGGAAGTACGACGTGTTCTTGAGTTTCAGGGGCGTAGACACCCGCACAAGTTTTACAGCCTATATGTATGAAAAATTGCAGGACAAAAACGTCAAAACTTTCAGGGACGACCCAAAGCTTGAAAAAGGGACAAATATTAATCCAGAACTCATGAAGGCAATCGAAGAATCGAGGTTTGCAATCGTTGTCCTTTCGGAAAAGTATGCTACTTCCACCTGGTGCTTGTCCGAACTTGCACATATTGTTAAATGCAAGAAAGAGAAAGGGACAAGCATTTTGCCAATTTTTTTTCATGTGAATCCCTCTGATGTACGACATATAAGAGAGAGTTTTGCTGAAGCCTTCACCGACCATGAAAAAACGTTCGGGAAAGAGAGCAAGAATGTGCGCCTGTGGAAAGATGCTTTAGGAGAAGTCGGTAAACTCGCCGGGTGGACGTTAAAGGAGGACAGGTAAATACTTGAAAGAAAATGACTTTGATGCTCCTCTTTTCTATTTTTATATTCACCCCTATTCATTTGAATAGATCAAAGGAAAATCATATTCTATTTAAATTAAAGTTGCATTTTAGTTCTACCATGCACAAATTTATATTGGCACATATGTCATTTTATTGCAATAGCGGAAGAATTCATGTCTATTCATTCTGTTGCAAATTTGACTCCCACCGGTTACTTTATTTCCTAATAATTAACTTTTAATCCACTAATGTTGTTGCTCTAATTTAATACAAGGATAATACTATGGTGACTAAATTTCTAACTAAAATTTGTGAACTAAATGATGTAGTTGTTGATGATTGAATTATCACTTAAGTGTTGATTAACGTGTTTAATTCCTATTGGCAACACATAGTTTGTCAATTTAGTTTACAATGTTATCCTTCCTAGCATTACCCTTAATATAAATAAATAAAAACTTTATATTGACTATATTTAAACAATCAAGGCGTTTAAGGGAGGAGATTCCTAAATTTGAAAAAGAAAATGGGGATTAGTTGTGGTACTCATACCACATCGAACTTTATATCCGAGTTGGTATATTTTTTAGGTTTTTATTTGTAGATCATCCTTGGAAAAAATTAATTCAATTGGAAACCATTTGCCTATTTAATTGTCGTGATAAAATTTTAAAGTTTCTTAGAACATAATACTCGTCAATTTTTTTAAACTCAATTAGATGCTTGAAACAGTTCCAATTTGAGTAATATTTTACAAAAAATAATCTATGAAATGTAACTTAAAAAATAAACGTCAAATCTCTCAACATTTTTTTCTGTAAGTCATGTGACCCCTTTTAAAGAGCATTTTCGCCTAAAAGTAGTGAAAACTACCAATCCACCTAGTACTCATGTACCAATTAGCTAATTATCGTGTATTAACCCGTTGATTTATTTTTAACAATTAGCCAATTTAGCCCAAAATTTAAGTCGAGCAGTATATTGGCACGAACAAAAAACAATGTTCAGGTAATTAGGTGAAAAAAAAAAGGTAACCTTGCATATTTTCTAAATAAAATTTTATTTTCTAAACACACTACAAGTCCATCGTTTACACAATTCAAAAAGAATCTGGTATGTTGAAATAATTGTGATATTCAATACATGATCCAGCATGAAGAACTTGTATGTAGGACATGCATATACTTCGAAATTATTTTACATTTATTTTTTCGAACTGTAGAATTACTCTCTCTTGCTCTTTAGTTCCCTGATTTTTTTCAAGGTCATTAGGAAACCTAATACTTCAAAATTCAAAAAAAACCTGAAACCCCTATAATCGACAAAACCCTAGGTGTGCAGAAAGGAATAAACAAACAAAAGACGAGTTCTTGAAGACAAAATGAAACCCTAGGTGTGCAGAAGAGAATAAACATTTTCTTTTTGTACTAAAGATAAAGACGAGTTATTGAAGACTACTTTGGTGAAGACGACGAATATGATGTTTATTTGGTGTGAACATATTGTTGTTAGGTACTGTGGGGTGAAATGGTAGTTTGGACAAGTTAAGTGGTTGTATTAAGTTAATTTTTACTTTAAAAATCATTTATGGGATGTTTTTAGTAAGTGAGGTGCACTCAACAAAATTATGGGATGTCAATAAAACAGTCCTTACTAAATTCTGCTCTATTTACTTGTGATATGTTTAATTATATTCAGCCACTCAGCACTATGGTATTCCTTTTCACTTGAAAGTGAGAGGTCTTAGGTTCCGATCTCGTGGATGGTGAATTCGATACCAAATTAGACTGCCTATTGTATAGTTTCGCCGAACCCATCTCCCTTCGTGCAAAAATATCGGATGTACTAAAAAAATTTATATTCATATTATTACTGTCTGATAATTTTTTCCTTGTCACAGATATGAAACAGACCTTATCAAAGAAATTGTCCAGTACGTGTGGGAAAGAGTTAACCCCACATTCAAACTGCAGGGAGATTCCACGCCCAAGTCAGGTGGAATTGATAATAAACTGAAGAAAGTATATTTACGTTTAAATGATGAGGCAAAAGATGTTCGCTTTATAGGTATACAAGGGATTCATGAGACAGGTAATACAACCCTTGCTCGACTAGTTTATGACAGAATTTCCCCTAATTTTCAAGTTAGCTGCTTTCTTGAAGATGTTGGAGAGGTTGCCAAAACAAAGAGTTTACTTCATCTGCAACAGAAGTTTTTGTCATCCATTCTGAAGGAAAATATTATGCAAGTTTCGAGCGTCTACGACGTCTACGAAGGAAAGAATATGATCAAGAGTTGTGTGCTTAATAAAAAGGTTCTTCTCGTTCTTGATGACGTGGACCAATCAGACCAAATATTTTTGTTGGCTGGAGAGAGAGACTGGTTTGGTCTGGGGAGCAGAATCATCATTACAACTAGGGATCCAGAACTGCTAGTCACAAATCGTATACGGAATGTGGTGGAAGGATTAAGCAAAGATGAAGCTCTTCAGCTCTCTTACTAATTAGAAGTTCCCAAAAAAAAAAAAAAAAAAAAAACACAAACTTGAAAAGCTTAAAAAAAAAAAAAAAAAAAAAAAAAAATATCGCCTGATATTCGTTGGATAAAGATATTAGTGCTTAATAACGGGAGCATTGCATTACTCACGGTTATCCGACGTTTAGCAATTTTCTTTTTGTAGTGTGTTTTTCCTTTCCAACCGAATTCTGTACTATTCTGTTGTACCTGATACTATGTTTTTTACTGTCCACGTTGTATTCAAAGTTTGTTTCATTGTTGTTGAAGACTCGAACTTAATTTGCCACACTGGTTCGTTTTGTTCTAATAAAAAGAATTGTTTACCTAATTTTTAGATTCATTTTATTTATTTAAGTTTACTTTGTGCTTCGGATTCTTAACTGTTAACGCTCAAAACTGTAAGGTTAACAAACTTAAATAAATAGTTTTAGGTGGGCTAATAAATTGAACTTAAATGAAGTTGGACTTTAAGATGTAAGTAGTTCACCATTCAAATCTGGGTTACATCCACTATGTTCCTTCACAATCTATTGATTCCAAGGCTATATTGTGCTCGGCTAATACATTCACTATATTCTCTCTGATTTGTCAATCCTCCATAATGGAGGTCACTACCCTTTATATAAGCCTCTCCCCCTTTGGGACCTCTCAAACCAGCATTTAATGTTCCATCCCACTGTACCGGACTACTAACAGCTTTTCACCTACTCGGATCATGGTTACCTTGCCCAACACTGCCCCAACGACCTTTATGTCGCGACCTAGGCCTCTGTTGGGGCATGCATGTTGTTAAGTAGCATTCAAGTACTTTTGCTCACGGAGACCTGTACCATAAAGTTGTCAATGTTCCCATGTGTTCTCCTCGGTTGACTAGTCTGTGTTGTATCTTGGTCGGCCTGAGTGGTTGAGTGAGCCTGCTGAGAACCCTTAGTCTTTGGGCTTCCTAGCCATCTCTTGGGCTTATGTCCTTGGATGGGCCTAAATGGGCCCAGTGTTAACAAACCCCTCAACTCCTTGGTCAAGGGCTTTATCTTGATCATGAAGTTGCTTATGGCCGGTCGACTTTGTCCTATCTATTGCTCGTCCCAAGCATTCCTTCATTAAATGCGGTGCAGGTAGGCGTGGCCTCATGCGCCGCGACGTCTCTTCACTTCTTGTCTGTTTCGAGAAGCAAAATGATCGCAAAGCAATGTGTCACGATCCTGGCACCTTGGCGTTTCCTTTCTTACGACCATGATAGGCTAATCGGGGTATGTAATCCACTTCCGAGGAAATCTACTCTCATTTTCCTTTTTTCCCAGAAATGGAACTCTATAGAATCTCACCCCCCCCCCCAAATCTCGGCTTCTCCCAGCGATCAAGAATTTGCTTCGAAGAATCCCCAGCCTTTTTTGTTGACATTACTCCAATTAGTTTCGCACATTGGTATTTTCCTTGATTAGGATAGGGTGTGCTCTTCCCAGATATACCGAGCATAGGCGATGACGACCGCTCTAGATTCGGCGAACACCAACCGTGAGGTGTAAGACTATGACTACTCGTTTAGGATCGACAATGTCGACCTTGACGCCCTAATGGATGCAACCAACACCCTCGAAGACTACTTACCCGTCGGACTCGGTAATAACCTCTTTTACCAGCTGAGTGCACGACATCCCTTAGGATTAGAAAACTTTCCCATTCTCGAGGAGCCCACTAGAGATACTCATGAGCAGAACCAGGGGAATGACTCCGACCGTGAACCACCGGAAGAGACGATCAGGAATAACATTTTGGATTCCTCTTACTATCTGGGGGTGTTATCTAGCCTAGCTAATGCGTTAGACCTGGATAGGCGGGAGAACCCCGTCCTCATTTCTGAGATCAGGTCGGTTTCTCCATCGATCTTTATTACTAAGATGTTGCGAATTATACTGCTGATAATACTTCCAACGTCATATCTCCTTCGTGGCTAAAGGAACTGAATAAGTAGTATCTTATCCCAGCCGACATCGTAATTTGAGTGCCTGCATCAGAGGAGAAACCTAGTCGGTCGCCCCGAGGTTGGTAACCTTTTTCAATGAGTTGTTTCAGTCGGGAGTTCGACTTCCCCTTCCTTCACCAAATTCTTGCTCACCTTAGACTTGCTCCTCATCACATCAATCCAAATTCAATCTAATTCCTCCTTGGCATGTATGTGTTTTGGATCAAGCTTTTTTGGGTAGAGCCCAACCTCACCATCATCTTTGTTAGGCATATATGGGATCTGTGAAATTGTACCAGACATATAGAGAATATGTGTATTGTAGTCTTGTAGAGAATATCAGACCATATGGGGAGTGCCAAATTAGAGAGATAAATATTCGAGTTAAGGTATTTATAGAGATCTTGAAAGTCCTTGTAAGAAGTGTAATCCCAATTAAATCGAAAAACTATCTATGAGGGAATCTAGGATAATATATCCAATCCAATCCTCATAGGATAGTGATTACGTTGCCTAATCTCTAAGATATCATAATTTAACTTGAATTAGGATTTTCTTACTTGGAAGACAAGTAATACATGTTACGGAATGGCTATTTGACTACTCCTCTGACTAGTCAGCCCATTGGAATAGCTTACTCCGATTCTAACTAGGAAGTCTGACTAGTCTTATTGTCTGAACTTCATGGGCTATGGACATTTCGGTCCTTCTTGCCACCTAAGTTGCTAGAAAATCATGATCCCACAACTTTAGTGTCCAACAGTGCCAAATATGACAAAATGACTGACATGTCAGCACATTTGACGCCATTTTGGCGTCAAAGAAGAAATCTCGTCAAAGTTAAGCAAATATTGAGTTCCTGGGTATAAAGTGGCGACTTTCGAGTTTCCGGGTGCAAAATAAGATCAAAATCGAGTTTCAGGGGCATTGCAAAAAATAAGTATTAAACTAATAAGATTTTGGATTTGTGCCACTTAGTCCAATGGTATTCCTCGCAGTTGTACATAAGATGTATAGGTTTGACTTCCGTAGATTATGAATGCCTATCAAATTCTTATGGCTAACTTAGTGACATGCCCGACCCTGATATCCTCCAAACACCAGGGTAGGCACGCGCTGGCCGACACCAGAAGGTGACGAAACCATACTAACATGCATGAGAAGTAATGAACATAAATAAAAGTTATGAATTTAAATATAATGAATATGAAAATAAGGAATGTGTTCAGAGCATACCACTAATCTAGAGTACTAAAAAAGAAATAATATGAAATTGAAAGAATAAAAGAATGGGTCCTACACCAAGAGGACTCGAAGATGCTGATGTGGGAGCACCTTAACGCCGAGATTATACACCTCGATTCTAAGTCCTGAAGGGGCGCAAAACAAAACATGAGTGGACCAAGTTGATATATAAGTAATACTGAAATAGTTATTCAATAACATACTAACCCCCAAAGTTTATGAAAACTAGTATAGCATAATAAGTAGTAGGTTTTCTGAAAACCCTAGCATGCTATAAAACCTTTCATAAAACATATATTATATAAAGTGTGCTAAATAATGGTATCATACTCGCCGGAAGCACTATATCTCTCGGCCGAAGCCAATACAAATATCTCCCGGCCCGAAGCCATCTACTTATCTCTTCCAGCCCGAAGCCAATACAAATGCCTAACCCGAAGCTAATATAAATGTCCGGCCCGAAGCCAATAGAAATATCATTCGCCCCATAGGCAGAACAGTGACCACTAAGTACGCATTTAGTGTGGGTTAATAGACCCCCATCTTCATTAGTTGATGTTTTATGTAATGATGGTCTTCCTTGTCCTCATTAGCCGTTTGTGGTGGGTTTGGGGTGACACTTTTACTTAGTGCAAGTGTTTGTGGTTTGTATCCCCGCTCACTGCTTTACTTTGTGTTTAGCTTCGCTGTTTTTGCCTCGTCATAGGCTCTCTTGCTTCTGTTAGGCTTCTTAGCCTTGGGTTGTTCAAAAAATAAAAAAAGTACGCACCATGTCATTGAACATAATAAATTTCCAATATATATCAACGGAGCTCAGTAGCTCAAACATCATATCAGAAAACACATTCATAGTATATAGTCATCAATCATATATACTACGAAGAACGTAAAATTGATAAAGCATGGTATTCCAAAATATTCTCAGCAAAGCATGATAATCATGAAACGTAAATCCAATTTACTCATAAAACATAACCATTAAATCTTGCTTTTCATGTATGCATTTCTAGTAGTAAAATATGCATTTTAGAAGGGGTCCACTCACCGATACTCTATCATCGAAGAGCCACGCAAACTAGCGAAGACGAAAACGCCACAATAAATGCACCTAAGCACATAAAGGGTCCAATTAATAAAACTATACCATAGCGATTGAATTTCATGAAACGGACGTCATAAATGGATTCAGAACGTCGAATTACCCAAAGAGGGGTCCCGGGCAAATTTTGAAAAAGTCAACAAAAAGTTAACACAAGAATGTTCCAAAGAATATTCCACAAAATATTCCATCTGGGTCAAGTCAACTGCCGGGTCAATGGGCTAGATCGGTTCTCAAATGGAATTGGGCTGGACATTGGGCCAGTTGCATGGCCCAAGGTTTGGATCCGATTCCACTTTGGGTTTGGGCCGAGTACAATTAGGTTTGGGTAGCGTAGGACTAGGCTTGGGCTTGAGGGTTTGTGGTCTGGGGTAAACGGGGTTAGGCTGACCAAAGGACCGGGTTCCATAGCCCAACAAGTTGAGCCGGTCTAAAGGTGATGAGTCGGACTCGACCTGTTTTCAGGCCATGGGTCGCCCGGTCTGCACGAAGAAGAACGCCGGAGCTTCCAAGCTCCGGTCAACCCCAAACTCTACAATTACACGTCATACCATAGACCAAAATGAAGCTATGGAGGAGAGGAAGAATGTTGTACCTATCCCGTAGCCAGCCGTGGCTGGGAAATGACCTGAAAGCTACGGTTTCCCGCCGGGAACTGGGTTTTCCTTTCCCTACAGTTCTTTATCCAAAAACCACAAAACTACTCATAGACGTCATAAACTCACTCCTAAAATGATCTATAGGGTTCTAGAAGCTTACCATGGTTGAGGGTTCGCCGGAGGAGGAAGTCGTTGTTCCACGAGGTTATGGGTTCGAAGGTTGGTATCCATTGAGGATCCTTCTTCCTTCGCTGAGATGGCGACTTGGTGCATCCATATAAGTATGTATGGGTGTGTATGTGTGTGTGTGTTGTTTTCAGAGAGGAGAAGGAAAGCGCACGGAGAGTAGAGAGAATGGTCCGAGAGTGGTTAACGGGGAGGGGAGGGAAAAGAGAAAGAAAGAAAGGGAGGGGAGTGGGATGCCACGTGACAGGCAATGAGAGGGGAGAGTCGGGGGGACCAAAATCAGGGGGGCCTTGGGCACACCATTTAACACCAAAAATGTAACCATTTCAAAATATCCCATTTTTCATGAAATTACCGAAATACCCTTTTGTTTTGTAAAACTCCATAACGGGTTGTCACACTTATTTTGTGGCTCAACTCAACCCATACTCCATTAGTATAAATTTTATGGTTGTATTACAAAAAAAAAAATGATAACCAGACATCATTTTCTTCCCAACATTACTTTGTTTATTTTTTGTTATTTGGTTAAATAAAATTAAATATTAACGCATAAAATTAGACATGAGTTCCATTGTGTAAAAGAGAGAAAAAAAAGTCACTTCCAAAAAATATAAAGGGGTTAAAAACCTTTTTAATCTCGTCTATTTTTGTCACTGTATTTTCAATTTAGTAATTTGGTCAATATGTTTTCAAAGTTTCCAATCGTAGGAGGGGTGTATTCAATTAGGAGTTCAAATGATTTTAAAAGAGTTTACAAACTCATATGTATTCAATCAAGATTTTAGATGAATACATACAAGTTCACGGGCATATAATTAAGAGTTTAAAAGAGTTTATAAAATGACACACCCCGACCTAGATCGAAGCATGTTGGTTATGTCACGTTACCTCATAGAAATTCGGGTGTATTTATTCCAAATTTTAAAGTAGTTTATAAAACATTTGTATGCAATTAAAATTTGAATTTAAAGTATTTTAAAAGACGAAGGATTTTAATGGATTTGGAGGGATTTTATAGTGCTTTTTAAGTTTTAGGAAATCAAGTCTTTCACCTAAGATTCTATTGATTTCACTCAAAATTCACATAGTGTATATGAAAATCCTTTAAACTCCTAATTCGATGCACCCTCCTTAGTCACTTCCGTTAACTTTTTGTTAAAATAATTGTAAAATATCTAAGTATCAACTAAACAAAAATAAATTTATTTTATTTTGAAACTTCAAAAACTAATAAAAATTTGGAAACCCCAAGCACCACTGTCGCACCCTCTTCTCTACATATAAATTGAGAAGAGCACAATAGTAAAATATTTGAAATACCAAAAAATACCCTCCATTAAATAGAAATTCAAAACATTATCATTTAATTAATGTGGCACGAGGCTAGTTTTAACAGAGAGTTAACAAAAGTGACTAAAATTGAAAACTAGCAAAACATAATAATCAAATTGGCTTAATTAAAATCACAATGAACAAAACAAAATAAATTTAAAGACACACAGTAACCAAAAAAGTTTTTAACCCAAAATAAAGAGCCTCCTAGCTACACTAGGAATGGCTTTTTCCAAAATATAAACCCCATTAACAAAATGCCCAAAATTTGAAGTAGCGGTAGGTAGACTGGGCATCCGTATCGTATTTCTTATGTTCATGTTGTTTTCATGACATACCCAATATCTTAACGGGTCGTGTCGTGTAATATCCGTTAAAGTAAATGGGTAATATGACCCAGTCGAAATGAACCCGTTAATATTATCAGATAATATGACCCAGTCCATTACCTGTTAAAGAAAATATATTTTACATCTATAAATAATGAAAATGAAAAACATAATTTGACCCCCAAAAAATGAAAAAATATAATACTAAATTAGGATATGCACACTACATTGTCACATAAATATTACTTCAAAACATAAAAATTTAAAAAATTAAAAAAAAAACATTTGTCTTTTAAGTATTACATACACCAAAATAAGAGCCTGATGAAAAAATATTAGTACATTACTACAAAATACCAAATGTTCAATGATGCGTAAAATGAAGGGAGTTACGTTTCAAGGTTAAGGAACCTTGCACATGCTTTAATGTGTTTGGTATTTTTAAATTACTTGATATTTTTATTTTTAATGTGTTTTATAATTTTTTAATCTAACTCGTCGCCTATAGTATATGTTAGGTTGATATAATAGGTATATTTTGTATCTCTTTTACCTATTAATTTAGTCATGATTTGATATAAAACAGTTGGATTTGATGTATTTTGTGTGAATTTTATAGAAGTTATTTTTTCGGAGAAAACTGGATTTTTTAGAAGAATTACAAGGAAAGCACGAAAGAATAACGAAGTGGACTGATGCTATGTGAGAGTGGTGCTGGAATTTGGGCTTTATCAAATTAAGTCCAATTTGGGCTTCATAAAAACAGCATGTGGATTAGAGAACAAAAGGGAAGGGATAGAAGAAAAAAAAAAGAGAAAAAAAAGTCCAACCGGGGGATGTACGGAACCGACCCTTCTCTCCAATTGCGGGGGAGTAGATGAGAAGCAACCGCAAAGGGGGGATATAAGGAGATTCCAGCCTTCCAGTGGGAGAAAACGCTGGAGAGAGGGTGGCAGTTTTGGGGTTTATCGCATACGATTCCAGAATTGGGGTTTGGGGTTTCTTTATGTTATCGAATTCATCCATGTTTGTGATTAGTTTAATCATGAACTAAGTCCTTTTGCTAGGATTAGGGTGTACTCTTATCATGAACATCTAATTCTTATTATTTCACATTGATCTCGGTTGTTTTCCATGTTGAGTAATTGTTATTGTGCTTTATCGTTATCAAATAACTGGTCATTATTTGTGTGAAGAACTACATTGGGACTGACAGGTTGAGTTTAGTAGATTGCTTCTCATAACGATTACCATGAATTAATACATAATTGAGTAGACATACTGGTTATGATTTGTGTAGTATTGTGAAATTATCCATTTAGCGTAAAGGGATTCAATTATCTACTTCTGTGGCTAGACATAGCATGGGTAGATAGTTAGAAACACAGTTAGTATATTCTGAAAGAAAATATTGATGATGAATCAAGGGATAATTGCTAGCAACATGGGAATAAATTGAGTTTAATATGAATAACGGGATTAGATGGGATTGAGAATGAGGGACCTGATGTCCTAGTGCTTCAATATATTAATTTTTCATAATTCATTCATTTTTTACTTCGTGTTTGTTCAATTGATATTTTCAATTTCGTTTGGGTTTTTGCATATTTGAATTTGTCATCGTTATCCATCTTTTATTTAAGTTTAGTTTGAAGTCAATCTCAATAGTAAATTTAGGTTAATCCGATCCTTGTTTGAACGACACTCTACTTATCATTATATTACTTGGACGATATTGTACACTTGCAATTATCAACAAGAGTATACTATAAAAATAAATAAATAACTAAAATTTAATTTTTTTTAATTTATATAGAATAATAATATAATAATACATATATTATATAGAATAATAATACAATAATACATATTTAATACACAATATATACATATGCACTATGATTGTTGTATTTTATAGTACCTTTTTTCAGTACTTTAAAAAATGAAAATCATCAAAACAACTTTTTTTTAATGTGTCGAAATGGATTACCCGTGTGTCACCCTCGTATAAATTTGCTAAGGACCCGTTAATTATCGTTTTGACTCGATAATGATCCTGATTAGTTATCATTTTGATCTGAAAACCCGTTATTTTTGTGTTGTTTACGTGTTGCGTCAACTAATCATGTAAGAAATTGTCAGGTTTAGCTGTAGGTAGGCACCAAAACAAAATAAATCGATCTTGCGTATCAAACCATTCCCTACAATTAGTCCAAGCCAAACCAATTCAAACCATTCCCTACAATTAGTCCGAGGCAAATCGATCTTGTGTATCAAACGTGCCCATAAGTACAATCGAAATGCCAAACTGTCTATCCATCCTGGTCGTACAATATTGGTTCTAGGAATTGAAAATTAATATCCATATCTCCATGTCTTGTTCAATGCCATTAGTTTCTAGGCACTCATTGAAAGGGGCATGAATTTCAATTTGGAAAGCTTTTCAATATTTGTAGTGCGTGTGCCATTCAAATTGTTAGGTAGATGTCAAGGACTGCAAGGTAAGTGAATTTGAAAATGGGAAATTTAACGAAAAGCTTCCGGTACTGTACACTTTAACGAAAAATCATATTTTTACACTAAAACGTCAATCCTGGTACTATTCACTTTACCCTTTATTTTTGTCCTTATCATTAAAACTTAAAGTTTTCAAGCTTATTTCATTAGTTTTCTTTTCCATCACTAATGGGTCCGTTGAGAATTAATTAAAAGGACTATAAAGTTAGTTTAGGATTCCCTGAAAATTTTATACTCCAACCATACTCTCTAATTCAGGATGTTGATTGGCGAGGTTATTGTAGGCAACACAAAAAAACCTAGACTTTGAACATTTCCTTAGTCCACGTGAAACTTTTCCATTGAATTTATTGAAGGAAAAATCGATCTAGTTTTAAGAGTTGGACCAACAACTCACTACTAATCACACATAAAGTGTCTAAACCGAAAATTCGGGGAACGTTGTTTGACAAGTTTGTCATCCTAATTCAAATGGGAGTTGAAGTTCCACGGCTTCTAGTATGATCTGGTGGCTATCAATATATTGTGGTTCAAATTTGTCTTTGGCGAGAACCGAACCTAAGACCTCTCACTTACCAATAAAACAAGATAGTGTATTTTTATTGCAACGAAAAATCTAGCATGACATTACATATATTAGCCCTGGTATGTTAAACAAGCATTAGGGCCTGCCGGCGCCGTTCTTTCCCCGATTATTTTAGTTTGTTTAAGATTATCAAATCTTCAATAGAATTGATCACTAATTGACCACTTTCTGTTTGCTTTGCCATCTTGATCAACAACCCGAGTTAGATGTTATATATTTGTTTGAGCAATGTATTTTACACTTTAGTCAAAATACCGCTAACCAAATAATATTTAGGTGGAGTAATCAAGCTAGTTTTGTATAATTACCAATGTGTAAGTGTAACTCCTATGTTTGTCTTCTGTACCTAATATTTTGCCTTCCGCAGGTAGGGCTGGGTTCGGTTCTTATCGGTTCGGTTTTTTACCAAAATCAAAACCAAACCGAAATTTCGGTTCGGTTCGGTTCGGCCCAAATTTTTTTCGGTTTGGTTTTTTTTTCGGTTCAGTTTCGGTTTTTTTTCGGGTTTTTTTTTTTTTTTTTTTCATCCAAAAAATGCAAAACAACCACAACATTACTTGAGTTATATGCCAAGCATCCATTTCTTTATTTGGTTCACAGAGTGCCTAGTATTTGGGTCATT